GAGCATGGGCGTCGACTCAGGCGAAGTTCCAGGTGAAGCTCGAGCAGGCGAGCTCGAATTTTGTCGATTCCCGACCTCGGCGTGTGGACAACGCGACCTTGGCATTTTTTGGATCCGACCCTCGCATTTGGGATACCGACCCTCGCGTTTGGGACACCGACCCTCGCGTCCAAGCTCCGACGATCGCGTCCAGGGGCTCCAACCCTCACCGACCCTCGCGTCCAAGCTCTGACGTCCGCGTTTTGGCGCTCCGACGTCCGCGTCTTCGCGTGGCTGGCGACGGGCTGTCGCCAGCCTGTCATGTTCGCCTATAAAAGCAAACCCCGATGCCCTAGGGTTTGTGCTTTTTCTTCCTCCCCTGATCTTTCTCTGGCGGCGGCAAAAAAAACGCAGCGGCGTTCCTCTTCTCCAACCTTGAATTCGCAGCAGCGATTTTGGTTTCTCATCTCCAGCACTCAACCGCGTTTTGAGGGGGGATTAAGAAAAGGATTTAAGAGAGAGAGAGAATTGAAAGGGTTTATTCCCTTTAATTATTAACACTGTAGCTGCAGTGTTCATTTGAGAAATCTCAGTTTTGGGATTTGCTCTTGATTTGTAATTTCTTGTTTGATTAATAAGAAATTGACTGTGTGGTTCCCGAGGACGTAGGCAATTGCCGAATCTCGTAAATCTTGGTGTACTTTTTCTATTCTGCGTTTCTGTTGCATTAGGGATTTAGGCGTTAAATTCCCAACAATTTGTTCATATTACTCGGAACTGTTTTATGGTATGTGCTTATAATTCTTTTTATTTTTTGTTGATATAATCTATTTTTTTTTGGTAATTTGATATTGTCTGCTTTTGTAGATGAGAATGGAAATGAACACATGTGGGGTGGTTGCATCAATGTGGCCAATATACAGGCTTTGCCATTAAACAAGAGAATTGAGGTAGAATTTAACAACTTGATACGATTAATTAATAGATCGGGCGCCGTATTATCAAGATTTTGTTCTGGTATTGCTACAAAACCTAATCTTTGTCTGCTCGGATATAATGATTGGAGGCTTGTGCCTAAAAGATTGAGAGCAGAAGCTGTTGGAATAGTTCGAGTATCGATCTATAGCTTTTCTATCTCAGAGCAAATTTTTGCTTCCAAAGGGGAGGGAAATGAATGGACTAATACTTTCAATGATCGGCAAAGCATTGAATAATTAGAAAAGGATTGGAATCATGAGAAGCATTGGAACTGAACCCTCTTGATGTTGCTCGCAAATATTGGATACAATTTGTTGAACACTCATTTTCTAAAGAATTTAAGGTACCTTTCCTCTTAAATTTAATTCGATGCACTTCAATTTGTCTCAATTTATTTGTTTTAATAGTTTGTGTCATTGGTAGCCTGGGAAGCATATAGTAGATTACAAGTTTGAGATCCACTGAATATTTGTAAGTATTCTTTTAATACAGAAGTCATGCTAAGATTTCCTCAACCCTCACCACCTTGAACAAAGTTTTCTGTAGTTGGTGGTTTTTGCTGACGTCAATTTTCCAGAAATTAACAGGTGAATATGCACGATTATCAGAGTATTTGTTTTATGAATGAGACCAAAAAATATGTGAAATTATATGAGTCTATATACTATTGAAGTAATTAAAAATACTGTAATTAATTAGATTTTGGGGACATATCAGAAGAGGTAGCAACATCAGCAACACAAGCTTATACTATCTGCAACTGCTTGACCAAATTAGAAAGAACTGAAAGAAAACATGAAAAAGGAACTAAAAAACCAATATGTATTTTTTGTGCCAGTCATCATGGGTTGTGCTTGCTCTCACTGTTGATAATCACCGAGTTGTTGTTCCATTGATGGAAGGCTCCTTAACCACATAGGGTTTTGCACAGGAAATTAAAGGACCAAAGTCAAATTTTGGAAAAGCGGAGTAGCAGTTTAAGTTTTAGATAGTTATAGCAATGGTTTTGTTTTTAGGCTTGAACCTGTGTGCAAAAGTTATCAGATTTGGACTTAATTGCTGAACCTTGTCATTTGTCATAATTCCTCTTGAATTTTATTTAATTTGACTATAAGCAATGTTCTAAGTATCATGATGATTGCTGGCGATATAAAAACTTGCAGGTCATATAAAAAGTTAGTGGATGCTACTAAACATGGTGTGTTCAAAACCAGAAAGAAAAACAATTTCATTTGTCTGTGTGGTTTGTTATGAAGCCCGGTTCCTAAACCTATTGTCTTAAGGTTATAGAGTTGGGTTTGAGATAAGAATTGTGTTTTAAGTTTTGAAATGATAGTTGATAGTGTAACTTGAAAAAACTGGACAAGTAAAATATAACAGTTTAGAAAAAGAAAGTGCCTAAAACATGAGAGTTTGGTAACTGAAACGAAAAAGTAAGAAGGATATAAGACCTAACAGAAAAGAAAGCATATAGAGGGCACTAAGTAAAGTAGGAGAAGGAGCTTATCATGTATGATAAAATGTTTTCTAAGTTGATGACCGCATTTGTTACTATATTCTCAATACTGATGCAATATTATGTTTTCACTCATCTTCAACTATTTATTTAAACCTGAGACTTAATATTCTCCCTATATCATTTCTTCATGCACACAAAACACATATTAGTAAAGTATATACCAAATTCCTTTAATTTGTCATGTGTTAAGAGCCTGTACTAATTGTAGGCACTTGCTGATGCTTTTAGTGGGCATGTAGAGAACTCTTCAGATCTCGGACCTCATACAATTTGAGGGAATGTCATTCACTTTATCTCACTAGTAATAGCAGTTGAAAACATTTCTTTTTCCAATAATAAAATCCTCAAACTCGCTAGTATAAATTGAGATGAATCATAAATCTATAAATAGAATTGTTAGGGTATAAAACTATGACTCTCAACCCTCATCACAATTTTAATTTGATGTAGTGGCAAGGTCCTTCAATATAATATCGGAACAGTCCATGTTTTGCATGTTACAATTGTATACTCTTAACAAGAATGCTTATTTTACGAAATTTTCTTTTTCAGGCTAGTAACCTGAATCTCTGTTTAACTATTGTTACATTGGCATCCTCTTAAACACCACATAAATGTGAATTCAAAAAGGGGGGAAAATGGTTACATAAACATGATCTCCATTTATCAAGTCAGATATCAGCAAATGACTCAGACATTGCCCTCATAGCATGGCTGCACAAAAGACAATTGCATATATAACCCTTTTGAATGCTAGGTTCTTTACCCGTAAGTGCACACTTCTGGGAACCACTTGCCCATAGGTAAACACCTCTGCTCTTGTGCGCTTTGTCTCTTCTCTAATGAAACAAAATTGTTTATGAAGCTTTATTGACAACTTATCCTCTCTTACTTGTATCAAGAAATATATCTTAATTATTCTTCATATCTATAGATCTACCTGTAGTATGAAGATTGTACTGATGCTAAAGAACTAGATTCAGAGTTAGGTGATAATGAGAAGACAAAATAAAATCTACAAATCGAACTCATTTGCTAGTAATACACTACAATTTATACTGAAATATTTCAGGACTAGCGAGAATACATACTTGCAGCTTTCATCACAAGGACCAATACATGGAAAGGAAACAAAGAGCATATAAAAGGCACACATCATATGACAAAACTTGGAAAGAAGCTACCTGAAGGAGTGCAATTGATAAAGGGAGGTTGACATAGATGACGAATCAAACATACTAAAATACTTTTTAATATTAGAAGTTTATTAGAAGTTTTGTATATTCTCAGATGCAGTTTATCTTGATGGTAATATTTCTGTGTATCTTTTGTTGTTTGATAGACTTGATTTTTTTCATTTGTATTCAATAAAAAATGCAGAATAATTTTCTGTACATTTTAAGTTGCTTAGGAAGAAGCATGTTTTTAGCAGTAATAAACATGAATTTAGTCATATGTAGCTCTCTTGAATGTTGTTGTTGAAGTTAGCTATGCTAATTTTCACTTGAATATAAAATTTACCTATGTTATTTCATTTTACAGGGTTTAATTATCATCTAAATGTCATATGGTCAAAATATGAAGAATTATTGCTTGACACAAATAAGTGTAGAGAGTTGTCTCACCACTTTCTACACATACTTGTGTCACTATTTTCTTGACACAAACACGTGTCTCGATTTTCTTGACACATGTAAGAGTCGCGATTTCTCGGCACATCTATGTGTTGCTAGTGCTTGATATATGTTTGTGTTGTGAGTTTTGCGACACACTTTCATATGTGTAGAGAGATGCTCTCCACAACATGCTCTTACCACACTTGTGGGATGTGTCACGCTTTATTTGTGCTACATAAAATGATAAAAATGTGTCGCACGATGTTAGAAAATGTGTCATTTATTACACCTTTTGTTGTAGTGAATATTCAAGTAGACAATATTTAATGGAATGAGTTCAAAAAAAAGGTTGGAGTAGTTACAGATGTTTACTGAAGTGGGTTTTTACATAATTGAGGGTAAAACTTTAGATTTTAAGGCAAAAACCCCAAAAATAAAGCACATTAAGTTACGGATGTTTACTGAAGTGGTGGGTTTTTACATAATTGGGGGTAAAACTTTAGATTTTAAGGCAAAAACCCAAAAAATAAAGCACATTGACATATGAGATTGATGACATCCATCTTGCAAACAATTAGATCCATATTAATATTATACAACAATAAGATGCATTTTAGCTTGAAAACAACACCAAAGCATAAGAATCATATCCTTAATTACGGAAAAACATACAAAATTACAATCACTTTTCCACCAAGAAAAATTTTAAGCTCAAAACAAACAATTAAATTAGTATAACATGATAGTACCTGAGACATGATCCATCTTCTAATGTTTCACTCAATGTTCCAATTATCAACACTAAAGCATATAATACAAAGATAATCATACATTTCCAGTTTCAATTTGCCATATATACCTTGAAGGCCTTACATCACAAGAAGACCATGAAGTAGACCACATGGGTATAAAGCAAAATTTTTGAGAGAAATGGTATAAAGCAAATTGACATCAAATACATGCATGTCCGATCAGAATCCACCAAATAAGATGTTCTCACATTAGTTACCTACGGAAAAGAACATACATTCAATCCAAAATTATTTAACATCAGCAAGGGATTGCAACAAGATTTAAATTGATCTTTTTTCTACTCGCAATTCCTGGAGCTTCAGCCATATCCATCTCCTCTTCCCTCAAACCTTCAGGCAGTCTCCAGTCAAAACAGCGCATAATATTCGCAACCGCGAGCTCAATTATAACGTTGGCTAATTGGATCCCGGGACAAATCCTTCGACCCGCTCCGAAAGGGATCAGTTCATAATCTTGCCCCTTGAAATCGACCTCGCTGTCCATAAATCTCTCTGGCATGAACTTTTCTGCGTCACTCCAAATGCGAGGATCCCTTCCAATTGCCCATACGTTGACAAGAACTCTTGTGTGTTTTGGAATGTTGTACCCTTGGATCATTGTATCTTGCATTGATTCTCTTGGGAGTAAAATTGGCGCAGGGGGGTGAAGTCTGAAAGTTTCCTTGATTATTGCTTTTAAGTAAGGCATTTCGGCTAAGTTTTCTTCTGTAACTTTGGATTTTGCACCTGCTATGTGTTTTATCTCCTGTTTTAGTTTGATCATGACATTTGGATTTCGAACAAGTTCTGCCATTACCCATTCTATTGATATGTATGTTGAGTCCGTACCGGCACCAAACATATCCTGTCAAGTGTTATAGATTAATAACTATCATGAAATGGCACATGAGATGCATATCTACTTGGGTTAGTTTCTCTCTCTCACACACACACACACATATATATATATATATATATATATATATATATATATATATATATATATATATATATTAATATATATATATATATATATATATAATATATATATTATATATATATATATGTTATGATTATGCATTGAGAAAATATTATAGTATGAGTCATGTGCCAGTTCCTAGACCAAAATTGAGATTAACCCGTGGATGACGGCAAGCTCAATATCTGATGACTTCTCATGAATGACTGAGGGATAGAGCTCAGTATCTGATGTCTTCTCGTGAATGACTGGGCTATACACCCATCAGTGTAGAAAAAAATGTTGAAAATTTACATATGAGTATAGTCTCATAATCTTTATTCTATTGGGAATGTTTCCATTTGAAAGAAGAAGTAGTCCATTATCATTTAGATTTAATTTCACATAGACTCCTTTCTACGTCGTTAACTTGAACTTAAAACATAGAGTCATTGTTACCGGACAAATCTCTGGCTTTTCACTCATTTATCCTCCTCAGATAGAATTTCTAATTTTACTAAGGGATAATATATATCTGTCAAAATCTAACCAAGGGTGAAAGAGTTTAAAAAAAAAATTAATCAGGAAGTATATCTGCAGCAATTAAACTACAGGGATAATAAACGCAAAATAACAATACATGCATTAGATAAGGAGCTAAAGAAATTACTCACCATTAGTATTGCTTTGATACTCCGCTTATCAAAAGAAATGCTTCCTTTGAGTTCCTTTTCAAGAGAGAGCAGGACATCAACAAACGAATGATCACATCCATCTTCTCCTTCCCCATCAAAATTTGAACTTGTCCTTTCAATAACACTCTCCAAAAACTCATCACCCTTCTCATGTGTTTCCCTAACTCTGGTATCCAACCCACTAAGCTTACTAATCCAAGCAAGCCATGGCAAATAATCTCGCCAATGAAACCCACCAAGCAACA